TTAATTGAAAATATATCTATTAGTATAAAAATATATTAAATATAAAATAAAATTTTAAATTTTTATTGGATATAAAAATAAAATTTTAAGAATCAAAATTTTATAATTTAATAGGATAGGAGAGAGAAATTAAAATTTTAAAGAAATAAAAATGGTAATCTTTTTCGGTTTTGTATGCAATATTTGGAGGATCATGTCGGCCATCAATGGAGCTTAACAAAGATCTTGTAAAATAAATAATTTGTTTATATATAATCTAAAATTTCAAACATTAACAACTTGGTATAAAGAATTAATGCAATTGGCATTTTAATTTCCCAAAAATATTGTGTATAACCTAATATTATTCAAATCATATCAATTTACGATATTAATTTATTCGTATTTAGATTCTAGAGAATCATTTATAAACACATCAAATATTGAACCGAACGTGCAAAATAAGTCGAAGCTCATTTTATAAAATTTTCGTGTATTGTACAGTTTCTTTTTTGGATACGCCCCACAATCTTCAAATATCAAACCTGCAATCGAGTGACATTTAAGTTAGTGTTCGTTTTTTGATACTTAAGTAAAAGAAGGGTACATGAATAAACCATGACTACATCTAAACGAAAGTGATCTTGAAGATAAACAAGATACACTATCCTCTTATGAGGCTCAATCATAGGAATTCCAAAGTTAAACGTGTTTGACTTGAAACAATTGATTTTTTGAAAAAACATGCTGAGTCAGACCAATGTATGCTAACCAATTTGTGTTGGGTTATGTGGATAAGTTAAGTAGGTAATATGGTTAACCGTCGAATCAGTGATCCAAATTCTTGTTCAAATCTTGGACACGGGACGTAATATTATATATATTATTTTATATTTACCTCTAATAATATTTCAAACACATTACTTTGTTACATCATAGCTTAATAATATATCAATAAATGGTCAATTTAATGTCATAATTTTCTTTATTAATATTTTATAATCAAAATTATAATAATAAGAGTGAGTGAATTCAACAAATGCATTACTTAATAAATTAAACATGGTTTAAATATTCTGTTAATTTGTAATTAGTCAAAGAGTCTTATATTTTGTTACCTAAATTAAACTTTGATGTTTGAATTTACATAATTAATTATGTTAATCAACCTAATTTACTATTAATTTACGAAAAAGCCCTTCATGACTATCAAATATTACAAATTAAAAATCATGTACTAATGCCACTAATTTTCTTGTTAACTTGGGGTTTGAAAAATCATGAATGTTTCTCAAAGGAATCAACCCATTCTTAATTTTATATAATTTAATTTTTTATATTTGGTGTCTTCGAGATTTTGTTAATCTTTAATTAAATTCGTTCAACGATAGTTTGAGAATGAAGTGAGAGAATTTGTGAAAGTGAGCATAATTTATCGGAAATTGACATATATTTTTATATTCAAAATTGAAGGTTTAATGTAACAACTCAAGTCCACCCCGAGCAGATATTGTTCGTTTTGACACGTTCACTTATTCTTACAGTTTCAGCTAAAAAATAGGAAGGTTCATGAATTGGGTTAGAAACATTTTTAAGTCCATAATATTTTTAGGTCTGTTTGAGTTATTTTTGTATTTATTTAAATTTTTATTTTTGATAAAAGTGAATTATTATTTTGTAAATGTTTATTTATTTATTTTTAAATATTTAATTAAGTTTCAATATATATACTTTTAAATAGTTAAAAATTATTTTTAAAGGTTGTTGAAGAATAAATAAAAAAAAATAAAATAATTATATACATATTAATTCTATCATAGGAGTATTCTCTAAATTTAACTCAAATAAATTATTATTTATTTTTTACATTCCTACTACAAAATAATTAAAATTAATGTAAGTTTATTTTTTTTATATATTTTTTATCTAATAAATTTTTAAATTTTAAAAATGATATATTACGTTATCTTCCCATTTTCCATTTTTATGTTCGGGAAACTTATAAAATACCAATTTGGAAGTTTGAACAAAAATTAAAATTAACAAAAAAGAATTTGAATAATTAAATGGATAAATATAAGAAGTAGAAAAAGTATATTTTAAATAGTTAAAAATTATTTTTAAAGGTCGTTGAACAATAAATAATAAAAATAAAATAAATATACTACCTATTAATTGTATTAAAAAATATTCCCTAAATTTAACTAAAATAAATTCGTAGTTTAAATAATAAGATTTTTTTTTAATTTTACATCCCTGCTACAAAATAATTAAAATTAATGGAAGTTTATTTATTTATTTATTATTATTTTTATCTAATAAATCTTTAAACTTTAAGAATGATATATTACTTTATCAACTTTCCATTTCCATCTTTAATGTTCGGGAAACTTATAAAATATTAATTTAGAAGTTTCAACCTTAGTTCACAAATTTTGACTAATAAATTATTCTAAACTTTGTAAGATTTTATTTAATACGTCTCTAAATTTAAAAAAAATGACATTCAAATATATAAGAAAAAAAAAAAGGATTTTTCGAACTAACTCAAACAAAAACAAAAACTTATAGTTCACCGATTTCAACCAATACTCAAATACCTATTAAAATGCTTCTTTTTTAGTTTAAAGACAAAATTGTAATTTAACCAAGTGGTCAATAGTGCATTTATTGCTCAAATCTTATCTTCCATTACAAAGGAAAATACTAGGGAAAATATATAACTGTCGGATATTAAAATATTTAGGTGCACGTACTTTTCTTTGAACAATTAAGGTTTTTTTTTAAACGACAATTTATAGCTAGAGGGCGTTATTGGAAGCGTAAAATCCAAATACTTATATAATAATTTAGTCTCTCAACCTAATTATAACAAATTTTTATTATCATCGAAAGTTTATAGACTAAAAATTATTTTTATTTTTATTTAAAAATTATTAAAATAACTCGGGTATGAAATACGAGTTAGTAAAATGTCAATTAATTTCTTTGACATAGATTAATTGATATTATTTATGAAAACCGTCAATAGAGCGAAAATAAAAACATTAATTTTAAATAGAAAGGAAAGATAAATAATTTTTAAAAATAAAAATTAAAAAAAAAAAAGTCAAAATTTTGAAACCTTCAAAATATATTTTAAGTAACGTTAAATACTCGATTAAATTGACTAATAATTTTTTATAGACAAAATAAATCAGACGACCTCTTTTTATAAAATTAATTAATTTAATTAAATTTAAAATAAAGAAAACGACCGTTGAATTTGAATCGCCGGTCAAAACTTGCGTTTTGGTGCGCCGGCGGGCACGGGATCTGCTCCAATTATTTTATCAATTTTTATTTGTCCAAATAATTTCGTTTGAAATATTTATTTATTTGTTTGTTTTTATTGAATATTATGTTAATATTGGAAATAAACCTCACTCATTGTTTTTGTTTTTTTAGTACATCTAAATTAAATAAATATAAAAAAATATATTAAGATATTTACGTATTTTAAATGTGGTCGATTATATCTTTAAATTATAGATTGAACTTTCATTTTCTTAGTTTTTATATTTTATTGAAAATTAAACCAAAAAAATATTTTTTTTTTTTGAATGAGAGACCGTGTTGATATATATTTTTTAAAATATTTGAGACCACGTGAAAATGCCACACGTTGATCGTAAATAAAAATTATTTTTTAAATTGGACTTTGGAGTTAAATTAAAGAAACAATAATAATAAAATTTAATGAAGGGAAATAAATAATCCACTTTCAAAGCTATGTCATAGTATTTGTTCATAGATAAATTAAAAAGTCAAATAATTCTGACCAATAAGACTATTAAAACTCTTATTCAAATGGACTAAAACAACGCTATTCATTCAACTACGAACAAAAAAATAATTACAAGATGGACTAAGTCAAATAAAATAAAAGAGTCGGAAAGTTCTTTGTTATTGCAAAAAAGAAAGTACGATCGTTTCATTTGAGAGACTATATTATTATAAAATTATTTTCAAAGAGTAGTTTGATCGGGAAAAATATGTGACATGTGGTTGACACCTACCTATTAGTAGTTGCATGTTCGAACCATCAAACTATGTTCTTTCTTGGTGACTTTTAAAAGTCGGAACTTATATCATATACTGAATCGAACTATGTTTCGGTTCGGTTTTGGGTTTGGGTTTGATTAAGACACCTTTCCTTTAGTTGTTGCAGTGTGAAGTACTAGAATTGCTGAAGGGCCCAACTTTTGGTGACTTTTGAAAGTGGGCTTTTAGCTCTAATGAATTTCAGAGGAGACTTGGACTTTTCTTCCTCATCCGAGTTCCTCTTCTTGGAGCTCACGTCGATTCCCATGGCAATAACTATGCCGGAGGGTCTCAGTGTTTGAGGCTATTAGCTGTTTGGAGGCCTCTATGTTTGAGCCTGCGCGGTTTGTTTACCTATCTTTTGCCCCGGATGAAGAAATTGGTGGCAATTTGTAATAGCCCAAGCCCAAAAAAGACAATATCGGCTAGTAGTAGGCTTGGGCGGTTACAAATAATATCAAAGCCAGACACCGGACAATATGCCAGTGAGGAAGCTAAGTCCCGAAGGGGATGGACACGATGTGGTGTGCCAGCAAGGATATCAGGCTTCAAAGAGGGTGGTAGATTGGGAGTCCCACATCGATTGGAAAAGAGAACGAGCGTCAACAAGGGCATTGGGCTCCGAAGGGGGTAGATTGTGAGATCCTACATTGGTTGGGGAGAAGAACAAAGCATTCTTTCTAAGCGTGTGAAAACCTTTTCCTAACAGACACGTTTTAAAAATCTTCGGGAGAAGCCCGAAAAGGAATGTCCAAAGATAACAATATCTACTTGCAGTAAATTTGGAATGTTACAGGGACGGTGAAGACGTTTAGAACTTCACCATTTGATTTGGATAGGGCTGGTTTGAAGGCTGAAAGAGAGAATGTCTCGGTCAACATGATCTTCATATTGAAGGAATTGGTTCTCAGAACTAACCAAAATGAAACATATGCACAAACTAGCTTGATATTCAGAATAGTTGCTACACTAAGATCATGAGACCATATGTCTATCAAGAATAATGAATTTTAACTAAATTTTCAGTGTTTTCATATATCACCAGTAATCACCACAAGAGCATAAACCTTCCTGAAAATGATGGTACCTGATGGGATCTCGAATGACGATGACTCGATTCTCCAACTGCGCGACAAGCTTTGCAAAGAGATGACAGTCCCCACAGATTCTAAGGTTTTTCCTAATTCGAATGGTCTTCTCCTTTGGCAAACTCATCAAACCAAACACAATTGCCAGTTTCTCGCTGTGATATTGAAGGGAGTCCTCCATCTGTTCTCCCTCAAGATCCTGCAGCACAAAATTTGTATCAGGAACATAGCCCACTGACACTAATCTTTGGATTACTCGGCTGATCTCCCTCTTTATGTCTTCTATTCTTGGATGCGAGTTGTCCCCCAATATAAAGGCATGTACTTGTTTGCTCACTTCAATCCAGCTGCATCCTGGTTCTTTCTTCACTCCCCTGGCTCTCATGCTCCTCCTAACTTCAGCAACATCTTCCCATTTCTGAGTATTCGCATAAATATTTGATAACAATATATACGTCCCCGCGTCGGTAGGATCGAGTTTCAGAATTTCTTTAGCAGCATATATGGCTAAATCCACATTCTTGTGGACTCTGCAAGCACCAAGCAAGATTCGCCATGTTACTGCATCTGGTTCATGCTTCATTTCATGGATCAACTTCACAGCTTCATCAAGCTTCCCAGCTCGTCCAAGAAGATCGATTATACAACCATAGTGCTCTCTTCCAGGATCGATCCCGAAAAGCTCCTTCATAGATTGAAAATAGTACCATCCATCTTTGACAAGCCCTGCATGACTACAAGCAAAAAGAACCCCAAGAACAGTGATGTAATTTGGTTTTGGCCCTCTAAGTTTCATTGATTCAAACAATTTGAGTGCGTCTGTACTGAAGCCATTTTGAGCTAACCCTGCAATCATGGTGCTCCATGAGATGACATCCTTATCTGCCATTGTCCTTGTGAAAACAAGGTTTGCATCTTCTAGACTGCCGCATTTGCAATACATGTCAAGAAGTGCGTTGTTTAGGATTAGATCTTGATCAAACTTTAATACATGGACATGGACTTGTCTGCCCAATTCTAAGAGCGCTAGCCCAGTGCAGGCTCGCAAGACGCTAGTTAATGTAGATTGATCAGCTGCAAAACCAGCTCTTTTCATTCTCTTATAAAGATGTAAAGCTTCATCCCCATCACTGTTCTGAGCTAAACCACCAATAATGGAGTTCCAAACAACCAAATCCCCTGTAACCATCTCGTTAAAGACATTCAAAGCATCTTGCTGTTCACCCAATTTCGAGTAAGTGTCGATCAGAGCACTCCTTACAAAGACATCAGATTCCAACCCCACCTTCATTAGACTACCATGTAGCTGCCTGAGGTTCAACAAACCATTGCAAGCTCTCAAAACAGAAGAATAAGTAAACATATTAGGTCGAACGCCTTCCCTAAGCATCAATATAAGAAACTCTAAAGCCATATGATTAAGACTGGAATTGGAGTAAGCAGATATCATAGTCGTCCATGAGACAACATTTCTGTCAGGCATTTCGTCGAACAGCTTCAGGGCTTCATCCAATAGACCAAATTTCACATACATGTTAAGCAGAGTATTGATCAAGAATGTTTTGGGTTCGTACCCATTTGAGAAAACGTGCTCATGAACAAGCCGACCTTGTTCTACACCCCCACGAACAAGGCAGCACTTGATAAGCTCGGAGTAAGTGATTGCATCAGCACAGAGGCGGTTTCTCTGCATCGCTTCCATCGCTTTCATGGCTCGTGGAAGATCCCTCTGATAGCAAAATTTCGTGAACTCGTCGACTAACGAGGAGGCCGATACTGAAGAAAACCGAACAAGCCAAGGGGGAGCAAGCTTCAACATTGAAGTTGCTCTTCTCATGGCTTTTCAAGGATCAAAAACACAAAAGCGTAGATTCAAATCATCCATGAAAGTGGAATCCCAAGCTCATGAATCAAGTTTCTTCATACATTATAGACCGTATCAAAATCCAGCGCTTCGTAAGTTTTTTACAATATGTCCCCGTCGGTGTAAATACTTCTAACGGACGATAAGCACGTTTCAATAATGACCCCTCGGAGGATGAGATTTAAACCCAATTATAGCTAAAAATATTATCTCTGTTTGAACACAACTCTCCACAATGATATGATATTACGGCATGGCTCTAATACCATGTTATACGAACACTGGCTTTGCTTTGGGCTTCCCCAAAAGGCCTCGTACCAATGGAGTTAGTATTCCTCACTTATAAACCCATGATCATTCCCTAAATTAGCCGATGTGGGACTTCCATCATTCAACAATCTCCATTATTTATTACCCATACAAACCAAAGCCAGGCTCAGAACGACAATATCATACCATTGTAGATATCCTTAATATCTAATAGAGGTGTACATGGTTGGGTTGAATTGAGAGAATTTTTTTTTACCCAACTTAAAATGTCTGGTTGGTTAGATTGGTAATCCAATCCAACCCAACTCTCTATTTTCGGGTTGGATTGGAGTATATTTTATATAAACTTTTATATATTTTTATTTGGCTCAAGTCTAACTCGAGAATTTTGTCCCATGACCCGAAACCGAACCGAGTTAGTTCGGGTTCAAAAAAATGAACCCAAACCAACTCGAAAAGCTAATTCAACCCAGCCCAACGACGTTTAATAATTTAGCCTAAAATTTAAAAGTTAAAATCTTATTAGATATCTTCTAACTCGTATTTTCTATAAGTTTAAGTAATATCCATTTTTTAAAATTATTTTATATATCAGATTTTTATGTTTTATTTTATTTTGGTCCTTAAAATATATGTTTTTTTTTCTTTAAAGTTGGTATAATGGCACATGGAAGGAGTGGACAACTAAGTAGAATATTTTGTTGTCAAGATATATAATAGGGAATGAATTAGTTGTTTTTTCTTGAGATAATGTGATGAAATAATTAAATATTTCTCAAAATGTCAAACCCCATATTTATTTATTTATTTACGTTAAATTATAAAAATGAATTAAATTATATTTGATTTTTTTTGTTCGAAATAAACCATATTAGAATGTGAACTTTATGTCGGTCTTTATTCTTCTACAAATGTAAGGTCGATATATTTTCATAGCAGCTGAGGATGAGTTTGATCCATTAAATTCTTCGATTTATTTGAAAAAAAAAAACAAGAAAATATTTTTGATCGAGACTAAAACGATCCATCTCAAATACATCAAATCTAATTTCGGGTCATTTCTTGGTGAACATGACCTATCATCATGAATATGCAATATTTAAGAATTACTCGACCAATTTCGACTATTCACTTGGTAACTTAAGCTCATCAAGCTAGACTAAAATATCTATTTTCGATAAAAATATTAATTAAATAAATGAATTAATTAGTAAAAATACATTTGAATTCTCCATTTTATCTAAAAAAAAAATAGGATGGACTTTCAATTTTCAGTAATACCTTAAACATTAAAAAAAAAAAAATATATATATATATATATATATATATATATATAGAAAATACCATTTTTAACCCTAAGAAAAAGTTCAAATATACTTATCTATATTTTTTATATGGTATGGAAGGATTAATATTTTGTTTCAAAAATATTTTTTTAAAAAAAATTAAAGATTTTTTTTTTCTAATAGAATGAATTTTTTTTTTTAAATTTAAAAATAATTTAAGATTTTTTTAAGTTTTTAAAAAAAAGTTTAAAAGCGTGTATTTTTTTAAAAAAAAATTGATCCAAATAAATAATCCACGTCATTAAATTTACATTAAAAAAATAAATGAAAAAAATGGAGAAAGTGAAAGGTATAAAGGGCCCACGATAATCATCCCACAACCCACCACCCACCGCTAAGCGAATAAAACAGCCTGTGCTCCAGCTCTTCTTTACACACACAACAAACATACTCTCTTCATTTTCACCCTTCCCACTTTCCTTCTCCATTTCTCTCCCCCCTCTCCTCCGCCGTCAAATCGCCATGTCCTCCGTCGCCAACACCTTCCAGAAGCCTCGCACCTTCCTCCCGTCAAGGCCTCTCCCCGACGCCCTCCCAGTCTCCCACACCGACTCCGCCGCCGAGCAAACCCTCCGCCGCCGCCTCTCCTCTCTCTCCCTCCGAATCCAGCCAATCTCCTCCCCTGCAACCGCATGGGCGATCCGAAAATCCAAATCCATGTCCTCGATCGGAGATCTCGCCGGTAGCTCCGTCAGAAAGTGGTGGGACTGGGGCTGGGCCTGGATCCTCTCTCGTAAGCCTATCTTCGCCACGGATCTCGAGATGAACGAAGAGGAGTCCAAAATCCTCGGATCTCAAAACAGAGGTAGCTGGAGACACGTCTTCTTCAAGTTCAGATCTGAAATCAGAAAGCTCATTGGCTCCGATGTTGGCCTCCCCCAAACAACCTGCAACTACAAATCCTTCAATTTCTCCAACAATGGCGGAATCAGAACCTAATTAATTAATCAGATCATTCTTTCCCGTCTTCCTCGCTTCATTCGCATCCAATTGTTCTGTTCGTTTCTGTAATTCCTCGCCGGTGAAGATCGATTAGGGCTCCAATCGAAACAGGTAAAATAGGATTTAAACAGATAGGGGTATTGTTGTCATTATATAAATTGTACTTTTCTTTTTACGTGGTGAATGCCTTTTTTTTTTCTTTTCCGTTTCTTTAAATTTTGTCCTGTTATTTTTTATTTAATATTTTACTTTTAATTTTTTTTTTTACTACGGGAGGGTCAAATGTAAAAATGTTATTGTATTACTGTTATTATTGTTGTTACTATAACTTAAAATTATTATTGTGTTTAATAATTCTGAAGGGAAATGGTCCTTTTTTTATTTTTTATTTTTTATGAATATATATATATTCGGTTGGGAAAGTTCTCCTCTTTAATATTGAAACTCCAAATTATTTTTATTAATTGAAAATTAATTAAGAAGTTAATTCGTAAATTATGATTAAATTGAGAAGGTGTTTCATTATAACAGAAACAACCGACACTTGAAATAGGGAGACAGAAGGCAATAAGGACAATTTCGTAATTTCATACATTATGAAAATTTTAGGAGGAATTCACAATTAATAATTTAATTCATCAAAATGCTTCTTTTTTTTTCTTTTTTTTTATTGATTCCTCAATAAATTTTGCTAAAATAATTTTTAAAAAAAATCAACTATTTTGTTTGCGATGTGGTTGTAAATTAGTGTAAGAATAAAATTGAAAATAGAAAATTCATATTGTAAATTATGAGAAATAATAATAAAAAAAATTTAGAAATTGGGAAGTGGTGTAATGATATGATGAAGTGTCGGTGACGGTGGCTTGCCAGCGGTGTATTATGTGGAGTCCAATGTCATTTTTAAATTAAAAATAATTATAATATTATAATTTTTTTAAAAAAATTATTTAACAATATTGAAATTACATTTATTTAACGATGAGAATGATTGAATGATTAAATTGTACAATGTGACATAATTTAGTATTATTTTACCAAACGCTTTAATTTATTTTTAAAGTTTAAACATGAAACTTACTCAACACTAATTTATTTTGTTTTATTTTATATTTATTTATAATTTTATTTTTTTCGTCAAGCGTCACCGACAAAAAATTCTGTAAATTTGTATCCTTGTAAATCTGACAGCTGTGCAGTCCACGTGGCACTATTACAATATTACTAGCTATGTCCAACCTATATATTTCAATTTACTTCTGTTTTAATTTTGAAAAAATATTTATTAGTTTTTAAATATTAAATTCCATTTTGTTTTGAATTTTGTAATATATATTTTTTTTTTCATATTTTATGTTTTTATTAATTATAAATATTAAATACCCTTTTGTTCTGAATTTTGTAATTTTTCCAACATTAATTATAATTTTTTTTACAGAACGGATAGACAACGAAGCTCATAAAGGCTTTTGGTTTTAAATGCAGCGACAGGGATAAAATGGACTTTTCAATACCGATTACGTGTCCATCAGTCATCTCTTGTCGCCTTCTTGCTTATTGATAATGGCCACATGCATGCCACTTGGCTTTGATGTTTTTCTTTTGTAATTCAATTTTTAATTTGGTTATTTACTTTATTTTTTTAAAAAAATACATAATTTATTATACTAATTGTTTAAAATTTAAAATTTATATTTAATAAGCTTTTCAAAATGAAAAAATAGTAAAGGTATAAACTAAATTTTAAAAAATGAATATATAAATTAAATGTTTATATGAATTATTGGATTTCGTTTCAATAGTTGTTTATTTTAATTTCACAATTTTAACGACAGGCATATTGCCAACGCATCATACTCGCTCCTTACGTGGCGTGAAAATATAAGGAATATGTATTTCCAGCTCAGCAAAAAAACAAAAAAAAATTGGGGTTTATTTGACTAATAATAATAAAATAATTGGAAATGGTCGGAAGTACAATTTTGGAAGCTTTTATTAGGTGTGATATTTAAAGCCGCCAATTCTATTTCAATCTACATTCCCTATGTCTCATATATATATATATATATATATATATATATATATATATATACACATATATATATACATACATATATACATATATATAGATACATACATACATATAGTTGTTCGTGATTCACGCAATGCTTAGCGAAGGCGTGGTAATGTGAAGTAATTTTTTATTTTTCTAGCGGATGTTGGATTTATTGTCCTATTTACTAAGAAGAGAGTGGACGGATCAGCTACGTGGACCCTTTTATTTTTGTTGTTGTCCATGATTTCTCGACCCAAATAGACATTTTTTTATGAGCAAATGCATGCAAAGTCTGAAGACAACTATCTTACTAAATAAGCCAATGGTTGAAATGAAAAGAAGGTCTGCCAAAAAAAGAAGTGTTTTTGTCGTTGCCATTAATCAGAGAAGAATCATTTGGCCGAAATTTGGACTATAAACCATTATAGAGATAGGAGATGAAGGAAGCTCGAAGGCTCATCTCCTTTGTGTGAAAGAAGAGACAAACCTCGACAATAACAACCTCAACACTAGAACGAAGATGAAGTAACGGTGGCGTTGGGCGAACGGAGAAGGAGAAAATGGGAGAAGAGATAAGTACATTGAATAAACATAATTAAGAAATAGATAAAGGAATAAATATATGAAATTTAACCTTTGTCTTAATTACAACACTATAATGAAATGGTTGTTTTGATCAAAGTTTTTTAAAGGATGGGACAAAATTAAAAATAACCTAAAGTTTAATGGTGTAATTGAAATTTACAATAAAGTTCAAAGACATAATTGAAATATATCATAATATTTATGGATATAATTGAAACTTTATAGTATGCCAAGTGTAACACTATATTGCAAATCACACCACAACACTATTCCCTAATTATTTTAACGGAAAAGTTACCAAAAATTAAATATTTTAAAGTTTAAAGATATAATTGAAACTTACTATAAAACTTTTATAATTAGATAAAAAAAAAAAAAATATATATATATATATATATACATTATAATTAAAATTAAAATCAAGATCGAAGAGTGGAATTATTTTTTTTTGATTGACATAATTATCTATAATTTCCATTCTCAATTTATTTTAGAGAGAAATTTCACGAATATATCAAACAGACATCTCTAGTTCAACGTTATATATATATATATTTTAAGATGTTATCAAAATTTTAAAAGAAAAATTAATATAAGGGTCACTAAGGGCAATCATTTGATTTTTTTGAAAATTATATTTATTTTCTTCCAACTTTTATTTCCTTCAATTTTTTTATTGATATATTTTAATTCTTAACTATATTCTAAAATAAAAAACAGATTTATACAAGTTACATATTTTAATTCGGAAAACATCTAGAAAAAACTAAATCATAAATAACTCATAATTGGAATAAATCTATTTTAAATTATTATTTTTTAAAATGTAAAATCATAAAAAATAAAAAAAAAATAAAAAAATCTGTAAAATATGTGGCCATTTTTATTTTTATTTTGCTCCAATTTATGATGGGATTGGGTCCTTGCCCGCCAGAAAAGAAGAACTTTTGATCATAGGCATCATATGATTTGGTCCATAAAAAATCACAGCTACACTCTCACTAATCCCGCCATGGCTGATGATTAAGAGCTTCGCTGTGCTTCACACTGATTGTTCATCTTTTTATGGTAACCTTTTCTTTCATATACGAATGGAAAGTCGCAGTTTCTTTCACTCGATGCAAAATGACATTTAGCTTCTTTCTCAAGACTGAGCAATCCATCCATGATTTTGGCTTCCAGGAATTTCCCTATTGCGATTGTTTGGACTGATCAGCTTCTTAGGTAATCTCTCTTTTCCATTTTTGTAAAACCCTAAATTTCATTTTATCCCCTTTAAACGCCGCACTTCTTTCCGCGATTCATGCAACAAACTTCGCTCTCAAAACTCGGGAAAATTTTGTTTTCCTTGTTCTTGTTGATGATTTTTTGATTTATTGAGAGAATTATGCATCATTTGGAGCGGTGGGATGAAATTTCTGTAAAAAATGGACAAATGGATGCTTGAATATGACTGAAATGATAAAGAAAACGCTGCGGTCAGATCGGGAAGAGCTTACGTGCTGTGAAAAGAGAGGTCCATAGGGCAGGTGTCGACATAGAAAACGGCTGTAAATAAAATATCATTTTAACAAAAGTTTTACATATGTTCTTCGGCTTTTGGATCGGTCTCTCTCGCCTTTCTTCCAGCTAATAACGTTGATGCCTTTTTCTTTTCTCTTATTTTCTTTTACTTGCTTTTCCTATTTAATGATCTTGTCTCTTTGGTATTAACTAGGTTTTTGCTGTCATTTGAAAACAGAGCATTTCATGGCTGTCTCTGCTGCTGATGGTCCCTGAAACCCTCATCAGCTTCACTGTTTCTTCTCAGTAGTTCATCTCTGCTCTGTTTTCTTGCTTCTGCTGGATTTTTAACACTTGGGTTTGCATTTAATCCTTCCTTTTTTCCTTTTACAGTTCGTCTTCTTTTGTTCTTTTGTTAATTTCAATCTCGAGAGAGATTCTGAGTCTGGTGATCTGAATGGGGATATTGGTTGTTTAAGAGGAATTTGAATTTTGTTTCCATGGTTTGATTACTGATCTGGGTCTGTATTCTTTTAGGTTCTTTGGTAGTTGATTTCGAGATTTTCTTGTCGATTTTGAAGAAGCAAAATGAGTGGTTCTGTTTTGGTAGCTGTTGCTGCTGCTGTTGGGAACTTGTTGCAAGGATGGGATAATGCGACTATCGCAGGTAGATTCATTCTTTCTCTGTTAATTTATCCTTGTTCCATGGTAAAATCATCGAAGTTGTGTCTTTACTACCCGCTTTCATGCTGTTCTTCAAAAATCTCAAGTATGATCCATCGTTGCTGCAGGGGCCGTCCTGTACATTAAAAAGGAATTCAACCTTGAAAGTAGCCCCACTGTAGAAGGGCTGATTGTGGCCACGTCCCTTATCGGAGCCACCGTGATCACGACATGCTCCGGGGCGATATCAGATTGGCTTGGCCGCCGGTTGCTGCTCATTCTATCATCTGTTCTTTACTTCATCAGTGGCATTGTAATGCTGTGGTCTCCCAACGTATATATCCTTCTTTTAGGCAGGCTTTTGGATG